TACAAGAACAGATGCATTCGAACTAGGCACACCTCAAGGTGGTATCCTAAGCCCTATGCTCTTCAATATACTTATGCACAAACTTATCCATGACATACCTGTACAACCTACGGAAACTGTTATATGTTATGCTGATGATATTTGTATTATGGCACACAGTAAACCAAGGTTACAAGTGTTACTTGATGCATTCTCCAAGAAAGTAGTAGAATGTGGCCTCATAATCTCTGTTGATAAAACAAGGGTTCTTATTCCCCATTCTCTTCATGCTAATTATACTATTAATGGAGTGCCCGTGGAGACTTGTGAGTCTTATAAATGTCTTGGACTCGAGGTTAATGATACAAATCTCGTCAGCAACCTGCGTAAAAAACTAGTTGAGCGTCTTAAACCTCTCAGAACTCTTGTTGGCAAAGGATTTGGCATTAACATAAAATATGCTCGTAGTTTTTATATTGCCTTTATACGATCTGTTGTTGATTATTATGCCTTGCATCTTCTTAATTTTTCTCCTAAACAATTACAAAGCCTAGATGTAGTACAGAATGATGCCATGCGCATCATCCTGGGTTGTCCTAGAACTGTCAGAATTGTTAACATGAGAAAGGAACTAAACTTACCTTCCATTTACGAAAGAATAGTTCTACTTAGTACTGTGTTTTGCGCCAAAACTTTGAATAATGGTCCCCCCCAGCTCTATTCAAATTAAATTGAGATCCATTCTAAACAATTCTGACTGTTCCCTCAATCCGCCGCAAAAAGCTCCTTAAAGTGTGTGGCTCAGTTGTTGTGTCTATAATCTTCAGAAACTGAATGTGTCTCTTAACCCTGATAAAACTGTTCACTATATTCCCCCTTGGAAAGATGTGGAGGTCTCTGCATTATACTCCCATCAGTGTAAAACAAATGTATAACACTGACATTTTGAGATGTATAACATTAGAAGCTATTGACAGTCATCTTCAAATTCTCAAACCGACTGAATCCTATGCCTTTACTGATGGCTCTGTGCAGTTAGGCACTGGTAGAACAGGTTGTGCATGTGTAGTATATAAAGGGAATGAAATGATCATATCTAGTACACAGAGATTGAACAACTGGGCAAGCACGACACAGACCGAGCTATTGGGCATTTATCTAGCCCAATAGATAATAGTGGCACCATTTATCTAGCCCAATAGATAGTGGCACCATTGAGCCACTGAATACCTTAAGCTCAATGGTGGTGGAGTTATTTTCTGTGACTAAAAGTGCTCTGCAGTCCTTAAATAACCCATCACAATGTATATCGGAAGTAGCTTGTAATATCTATATGTCATATCTAGTATCTAGTATGTCATATCAATATGTAGTAGCTTGTAATTAAATGGAATGTAATTTTTGCCAATGATAATAACTCTTGTATAAAATGTGTGGATCCCATCCCATGTTGGAGTTGGAAAACATGACTTTGTAGATCAATTGGCCAATGAGGCTGCAGGAAAGAAAACATTGATTATGACTTTGGACTATCTAATGCAATTATTAGAAACATACAAATTAAAGAAATTATTTCAGATTTAGAAGAACTAAGAAATGCCCAGAGACCTGAAAGCTGCAGTATTAAAAGTTGACAAGTTTTGTAATAGGTATTTGTATGGCCAGCACAGTAATCGAACCAGGCAATGTGATGTAGTCATTGCGCGAATTCCCCTTGGCTATAGACACATCTGGCAGGTTAGTGAGGCTGATCCACTACCAGAATACTCAGATTGTAAACTCTCTGATAAACCTTTAATGCATTCACTAGACCACTATATTGTTGAATGTGAAACCGTAAAGGACTTTAGACCTCCTGACCTCGTGTACCACCAACTGTGTAACTATTTTATTGACTCAGGTGTTCTGGACGACACCATGACAATTTATCCAAAATTTGCTTGTCCATTTTAAAGTAAAGAATGAAGAACAATTCATATTTATATTACTTCTAAGCTGCATCACTTATGAACCCATCCCTGCCCTTGTGTGGCAGTGCACAATAGAAAGTTGTTTTCACATATCCATACATTAAAACATTGATTGTAACCGTGATATACATGTGCTTCAGCCTACAGTTTAGACCTATTGTCTTATGTACGACCCTCTGCCCTGCGTGACAGTGAATACCAGCATTATCCTCACTTTAATAAGACTATCAAAATCCTCAGATTAGGCAAAATTGTAATTAATTTTGTCAATAAAGATGTTAATAATAATAACTAGAAAGGAAACTAGAGATACCAAATAATATACACATGGAAAATACTGGAAGGCCAGGTCCCATATCTACACAGTAAAATAACAACGTACTGGAGTGAACGATATGGAAGAAAATGCAGAACAGAACCAGTGAAGAGCAGAGGTGCCATAGGCACAATCAGAGAACACTGTATGAACATCATAGGTCCACGGTTGTTCAACACCCTCTTAGCGAGCATAAGAAATATTGCTAGAACAACAGTGGACATCTTCAAGAGGAACCTAGATTGTTTCCTCCAAGGAGTGCCGGACCAACCGGGCTGTGGACCGCTCCAAGCAACAGCCTAGTGGACAAAAATTCTCCCAAGTCAAGCCTGGCCTCGGGCCGGGTTTGGGGGAGTAGAACTCCCAGAACCCCATCAACCAGGTATCAACCAGGCCTCATTCTCAGATCCCATTTGACAGGTAGAGCAGCCTTGACCCTCAGTTCTCTGGCTACAGAAACTGACTGTTGAAACAGGCAGTGCTTGATGCCTACCTCCTATCCATAGTTATAGACGTAGATTTAAGGACTACCTCAAATCTCGTACTACAACTTATCTAGAATGTCAAAAATAAGAAAAGATATCTAATCAAGTGGCTGGAATTGGCCCAAATCACCACCTTTGCAGATCTCAACCTCATCTTGATGGAAAAATTCCTTCGCAGTGTTCCTACTCATATACGTCTCAACGTTTCAAAGGAGAAACAAAGTGTGCGCAGTTGGCTGACACCTACAGCCTAATTCACCTATCATCCCGATTATCACACACACCTGGTAAACCGTCTAGGTCAAGTCCTGTTAAAGCGAGTACCAGTGATTGTGTACTCACTTTACTGCAGGTATTAAGTGTATGTATGAAACCCAATTATTCAGAACAAACAAATACAAGGACTTCAAGCTACACGTGCTGTCGTAAGCACAGCTGGTCCCAATAGTGACGGCTTCACTTTACTGTGCTTTACTTAGGCAGTATCGGTGAAAATCTCTAAAGATTTCATTGCCGGGTCAATACTTCTAAATAGGAAACACATTACTGTTATTTTCTACAATTTTCACATCTCGATATGAAATAATATACAAATGTTTCTATTCACTTATTTCTTTAGCCTTCATTAACCCTGAAATGTCATTACTACCCCCCCCCCCGCATTTGGGGCATTTTACCCCCGTGCCCTAGACCAAGGACTGGGCTTTGCCATGATGTAACCCACAACAGTTGTCTAGCTCCTGTAGAGATCAATCCCGCCAACGGCACCATTTCGCTGCAGGTCGGCCAACTGCACTACCACAAAGCCGTTATGATTGTTAAAAGATGTACAGATTTCTTAGCGAGTGCATAAATGCTCCCACTTACGACAGTTTGAAGGCTGATTTGAGTTAGACTTGAGGCATGGCGGCGAGAATGCTGGTGTTGTGATGATGGCGTCAGCTGATCGTTGCTTTTCTGTTTGTTTAGATTTAGCTACTCCGAACGAAATGCCCATGTAGCACGGGCTATGGTAAGCCCGTAAATGGTCTTCTGTGATTGATTGATGAAGATTAAGCCACCCAAGAGGTGGCACGGGCATGAATAGCCCCGTAAGTGATAGCACCCTTTTGAGCCATTACCAGTTACAGCAGATGATACTGAAGATCTGTGGAGGTGCGACTGCACCCTGCGTGACGAGAGATGTCTCCCGATTGATTGATGATGATGTCTCCCTCGTGGACTTCTCTTATGTATGACTATGTATGACTTCCCCACACTAGCAAGTCAGGTGTGTGGTCTTTCTACGTATTCACCTAGTTGTGCTTGCAGCGGTTGAGCTCTGCTCTTTCGGCCCGCCTCTCAACTGTTACTAATTACTAACTTTTTTCGTCCCCCCCCCCCCCCATCATGAAAATTAACACATTCTGTAAGCAGACAGCCAAGTAATTACATGTGAGTGTACAAAGAAAACTGATAAGAGGTCCAAACCTGTAATCCCGCATTTCATGCACCAAACAGTTTACACCATTAACCTCTGCACTATGCCCTGCTTTTTGCCGATGTCAAATGTTTAAGAGATTAAAGAGAAAAACAAGTAGTTTTAAATCAACTAGGTTACTTGGCAGTAAAGGTTTTTACTTAATTATGGCTTAAAGGCCTTGCAAACTTGTACTACAATGACTAAGCCTTGTTCAAAGTTTAGTCACTTTCTGGCAACAAGCTACCAGCCCCTTTATCCCATCCCTCAGTAAAGTAGTTGATGTCTAACCCTGGGTAATTACACTAAGAAAATTGCAACTTTCATGGGTCCCGTGTGTCGAATGTGAGATTTAACACAAGAATTTAAGAAAATTAAGCCGAGAGTAACCAACGTCCAAGAAATCAGTTGGACTGAAATACATAATATTTACAAAAGAATTACTGTATTGTCTCACAAAACATTACCTGAATAACTGAAAATTATGAAAACTTAATGTAGATATTAAACAAGTACCTTACTTTTAGGTGTTTTAGTGGCTTAGTGTCCCCGGGGCCCGGTCCTCGACCAGGCCACCACGACCATATAGACTCAACATACAAAACAAGGTCAAAGTTTTTTCTAATATCAAACAGTCTTGGCAGCACAGGGCAAGAATAAGACCAAGAACAGAGTAGAATGAATGTGAAAAAATGGGTAATTATCAGTCAGCACAATATTTTTTGTTTATTCATACTCTGTAAACCAACACAAATACTCCAAAAAAATTAAAAGGTAAAATAAGCAATAAATAATGTTGCAATTTTATTTAAGCCTTAACAGCATACTTCCTCTTAGGGAAATTCCATTGCCTTTTGGACTCCTTTGGAGTAAGAATTTCAAGCTCCCTCTTGGTTAAAGCACGTCTGATAGCACGGGTCTTCTTTGGGCGCAGATCCAAAGGCTTAAATTTCTTGTTCTTGAAAAGAAAAAAAGTACCATTAGCACCTACTACAAATCAATGATCCACAAACCACAACCAAAATCATTCCAAACGATGCTCCAGCCCACGACAAAGCTATTCTCACACCTGTAACTGACAATACTTTGGGCTGATGAAAGGGGGTCAACTGGTTCATTACCTCCTGGGTACAGTAACTAGAGCCTTCTACCTCTAAACCCATCTTTCATTTCCTCAAGATTGTTGCCACAAGTTAATTATTCAACTTGACACATGGAAAGAAGCAAACCTTATGTTAAGCATCCTCAGGCTTCAGTTGAAGATTTAAATTTGGTAAAAAAAAAATTACTTTTAATTCTGGGAGAGCTGGTAAACACTAAATTAAAAAAATAATAGGTCAGAACGTGTCCATCTGACATCAAACCTAATTTAAAATGTTAAGAATGTAAGAATAAAAATTGTAGGAACATCTATTGGCCCCTGCAAGGCAGGTATTTATAAATATCCAAACTAATTCATATACAGTACTGTTATCTAACCTACACCTGAAAAATACAGTGATCCCAGGCCTATTACCTGGTCAAAAACCCTATTGATAAATAAAATTTACCAAAGTTTTTTCCGAATCTAATTGTATCCAATTTTCATCTTATTTCTATATATTCTATACCAGCATTTCTCAACCCCAAGATAACTAGGGATTCTGCAAGTGAAAAATACTCAGTAATTCTAATAATATGCATATGTATTTTTGAGTCACTGTGTTAAATTTTTCATTTAACCAGTATCAAGGGCAAAGACAATCATCTTTTAGTTGACAATGAGATTCACATATAAATAATTATCAAAGAAGGCACCAAGCTGGGAAAACTATGCAGCACCACAAGTGTCGGTGGATATTTAAAAGCCGCTAAATATCGCTTGGGATGCCAATACAGGAACGAGGCGAGTGCTATCAAGGTGTCAACAGGAACGAGGCGAGTGCTATCAAGGTGTCAACAGGAACGAGGCGAGTGCTATCAAGGTGTCAACAGGAACGAGGCGAGTGCTATCAAGGTGTCAACAGGAACGAGGCGAGTGCTATCAAGGTGTCAACAGGAACGAGGCGAGTGCTATCAAGGTGTCAACAGGAACGAGGCGAGTGCTATCAAGGTGTCAACAGGAATGAGGCGAGTGCTATCAAGGTGTCAACAGGAACGAGGCGAGTGCTATCAAGGTGTCAACAGGAACGAGGCGAGTGCTATCAAGGTGTCAGATTCACCATGGATTCTATCGAGGGACAAATGATCATTAGACAATAGGAAAGCAAAACGTACGATTTTCCGGAATAGGGACGAGATATGATCATCTGAAAATTGGAACACATTCCACAAGGAGGTGCATGACCGAGTGCAACAATGCAGCTTGGACAACAAGGAGCAGGGTGGCATTCCATTAACTGCCTGCGAGTTAACCATATATAGCCAATTCATAAATAACCCAGCCCAAGCTGTTTCCCATCGCCTATTCGAGTGGAAGGAGGGCCAGGGGAACCGGTTACCTTGAGTGCAGAGTTTAAGAGCGTAGCGCCAATAATGTGTGGTGAAAAGGGAGGGGTAGGCTTGGGGGAGAAGCAGATCAGATAAGTCAAAGTAATGTGGAGGGTGAATGAATTCCAGGCACCCTTATCAAACTGCCACGAGGAAGAAGCGAGGGCAAAAAGAAGGTTACGAGGATAGGGAAATGGTCACTGTTACAGAGCTGAAGAACCTTTCATGTCTGTATAAATGGATGAGGAGTAGAGTAAGAGATCAAGAGAGAAAAGGCTGCGAGTGCAAAATCAACACAAGTTGGCTCACCGTACTTCAGGAGACGAAGAAAGATTTTAAAAGGTCTCCAAGAATATTTATCAGATTACTACTCCAGAGGGCATGCTTACAGTAAAACTATCTAAAATGAGCACAGGATCCAGTAGTCCAATAACTGCTTAACATCAGTAAGAGTGGAGTATGTGGTGGCGGATGTTATGTGAATTCAACTGAAAAGCAAGGGGACTAAGGTAATATTCTGGATCAAGAGTGTCCCAGCAAAAAACTGGAGTGCAAGGAATAACTGCCGAAGTAACCAGGATAAGCATCAGGCATGGTTCCTGGAGAGACAAAGCAGTGAAAACCATAAGATCACAAGAACAGGGATAACAGAAAAATAAGAGGGAAAGACAAAGAACACAGCAGACTCGAGAGGATCAGGAGTAGGGTTCGGTGAAATCAGGGCGGGTGGCACATGTAAATCTAGTGAAGACAGCAGAATTGAAAGGTTATCGTGAAGGGGTGAAGGTGCACTGACAGGGTCCGTTGTGAGGGGGTAGCACTAGGAAGAGGTGGTCAAGGGAATGCGGTAGAAAGGACAGAAACAGTAGTGCATTTATCAAGGACAGCATTATAGGGCAAATTAACGACCACAGGAATTTCCATAGTGGGGTCAGTTGACTCTGCCACCAAGATGTAAGAGACAGGGACAGAGCTAGAGTGGAAAATGGGGGATTAACTGAAGCCTTCTTACCCACTAGGGAGGAAGAGAGAGAGGAACCAGATTAATGTTTCTGAAACAGAAGCGTACCAGTAGCAATATACTGTGCAACAGCCTCCAGTCTCAGGCGGAGAGGGAGAAAGAACGGATACATAGATGGCTTGGAGGAAGATGGACTAGACTGAACTGACATTTTTTGTAAAGGGCCAAAAGGCATAGAAGAAAGATGGGGGTCAAAAAGTGAAGATCACAGTGGATAGAGAAGAGGTGGTGGAAAAGTTACACCAAGACAAAAGGCCAGGAGAGGACTAGGAAGGAACAGTGGATATACGGGTCAGTAAACCACGAGTAAAACCCTTTAACTTCAGATTGCAGAGGCACATAAGATATGGAATTGGTGGGGGTGTCAGGGTTTAAGGCCTGGAAATTGTTGTGGGACTTAAAAAGAGAAGAAGGGCGGAGAAGAGAAGTGCGATACAATGCACGATCACAAGTCATGTTGAAGAAAGTGGCAAGATTGCGGACCTAACTCTTGCTTCGAGGAAAAATACAATTACCAAATTTTAAATTGAGGATTCTGTTCAAATTTATAGTGCATGCATGTGCAGAAGACACGATGGGGCCTCACCACAGTTGATGCAGCAAGCTTCATTAGAAGTGCACAATGTCTTAGAATGACCAGTCTCCATACAAGGAGCAAAGGGACATCCCACTTGTGTACTAAGTACAGGGGACTATGTCCAAATTTCCAACACCTAAAGCAGAGGCATGGAGAGGGACTGTATTCCTGAACAGAACACCTGGCACAGGCATGGATAACACAGGAAGGAAGTGTCCTACCATCAAATTTTATCTTACGACTACCTTGATGACAACCACGAAGGGTTCAAGTGAACATATCAATCTGGAGGATAAAATAACCTTGGGCCTCAAGGATATATTTAATATCCTCATGGTAATCTTTGAGTTTCTTATCTCCAGTCACAACAATGGTGTGGGAGAATGACTGTACCAATGCTGGCATTTAGCAGAGCACTTTAGTAGACCTGACTCATGGTCTCACCAATGCAGGATAAAGTAGCCAGTGCTACAGCCTTCTGAGAAAGGGCTGCAACTACACACACGTATCAGTTTGGTGGGGTTAAAAGTAACATGAATCTACAGTCAACTAGGTGCTTATGAATGCAGGTCATCATGTTAATTGCAATAAAGATCAAAATACTTAGGCCATGTCGTGGGCCAAACAAATCCTGAAGCAGTTTGAAGAAATCATGCGTGTTTGAGCATGGTTATGGCACTGTGCTCCCTCATTAAGGAGTGGTAAAAGGTGCAGTTTTTACAACAAAAGATGAGGCTGCTCCACGTGACCAAGTAATCACTACTGGGGCTTAATCCTGCCACAGAAAAAGGAGGGGAACAGAAAGGGTCAGGTGAGGTCCCCAACGGAGCCAGATTAAAAAAAATTATCAGGGACCTTGCAAACATTCAATGAGACACTGTTCTAAATACAAATCCTACACAAGGAATAGACAAATTGACTTCTCAAGCATAGTATCTGAAACATTCCTTTGAGGATAGCAAGAAAGAGGTCCAAAGAGACCTCTTTCTGGCCTTACCTCTTTGACCTCTTTGGTCAAAGAAACCAAAGGTAGAAAGAACACAGACGACACTACAAAAGGACAAAAATAATGGAAATGTTTAAGCAGACATGACTTTCCATACAAACAAGGAATATTTAATTAGGGAGATTGAAGAAATAGAGCAGACTGAAACATTGTCAAATTGAAGAAAGGCAACTAGAACAGAAAGCATTATAAGAAATCAAGAAAAACCCAAACTATTTCTTCACATATGCTAAGTCAAAAGCAAAAACCACTGCCAGAATTAGACCTATTCGTACGAGTTAGGTTCATACACTGAGGATGACAAAGAAATTAGTGAAATCCTAAAAAAGCAGTATGAGGACATGTTTAGCACTCCAATAAACAGCATGAAAGTGGAAGATCCACACATCTTAACGAGTGATATCCAAATACCTGTAAGTATAACTGATATCAACACAAGCGTGGACGATTTTGAAAGAGAAATTGACAACATGCCCATGCACTCAGCCCCAGGTCCAGACTTATAGAATTCAATATTTATAAAGAAATGCAGTGCCAGCCATGGAATGATAACACACAAAATGAGGTCAGTTGGAATAGCTGGTAAAGTAGGATGGTGGATATTAAACTTTTCTGTCGAACAAAACACAGTAACAGTCAACCGTATACAATCGAGTCCAAGCGCAGTTAAAAGCTCAGTACCTCAGGGTACAGTCCTTGCATCACTGCTTTATTCTCATATCAAATATAGACAAAAATACATGTCACAGCTCGTATCATTCTTTGCAGATCACACAAATCAGCATGAAAATTACCTAAGACATTGAAAAACTACAAGCAGATATTAATAAAGTTTTTGACTGAAAGGAAGAAAATAACACGATGTTTAACAGTGATAAATTCCAGGTACTGCCCATAGTAGGAAAGCAGCATGTAAAGGATTTGGGAATAATGATGTCTGACGACCTAACGTTTAGGGAACATAACCAAGCAAATATTGCGTCAGCCAGAAAAATGATAGGATGTATTATGAGAACCTTCAAATCCAGGGATTCCATAACAATTGTTGTACTATTCAAATCACTTGTGCTGTCCCGTCTTGAGTATTGCTCAATACTCGCTTCCTCCTTCAGTACAGGAGAGATTGCTGAAATAACATGCTGTATATATATGTTCAGAGAACATATACAGCATACATTGATGCAATAAAGCACCTAAATTATTGGGATTGTCTCAAAGCTCTCTAAATGTACTCATTAGAAAAGAGAAGATATCAAATAATATACATGTGGAAAATACTGAAGGGCCAAGTTGGTATCAGATCTGATACCATGAAGCCAGTACCAATACCAATGGGGCTAATCTTCCATTAGCCCCATTCATGGGTCTGGTTCCCCCCACCCCACGAGCCAGTGGTTGGGAGGTCAGCTCAGTTTCAATGTCACTGTTATACAAGTTTAGATCCTGGAGCCAAGGGATCCCACTTACCAGGGCAGCAGGTAGGGCTGAGCACTGGCAAGTGCAGGAAGGGGTGCATTCTCCCAAGTGGTGCCTCTCCTTCCCCCTTTTTTTTTTAACAGGGAAGACCTACAGCATTGTGCATTCTCCTACACTAGTGCAAAGACCTCTACCCCTCTAGCCCCAGCCAGGAGACACAACCAACCTCCAAGGGCAACCCTTCCAACAGGTGGTCAGTTGACCCAAACAGCCTCATTACGTTTGTCACATTTAGTACGTACCACACCCAGAGGGGGGGTAGGACAGGGGGGCCACTATAACCCCTCACCGGTCCCCAGGAAGTAATACATGAACCCCTTCAACACAACAAGGTGAAACTTTTAAGAGGGTAAATCTGTGTTTATCTAAAGTATGACCCAGAATTTTTTTAAGGGTACAGAGGGTGATGAATACTGCTCTATACTACAGTATTGGTACATAAAAAATATTGTTGGTGCTCAATACTATTGGTGTTTATCGTAAATGGGCAATTGTATTGCTATTTAAAAAGAACAATAGAAAGCAGAGTAAGACACATTATTATTATTAATGCTTCCAGATATGAATACATATTCTATTTGTTAGATTTCATTCATACTTTATGGTTCCTAACACCTAACCAGTTCTTTTTCACATTTAAAGTTTGCAATTTCAAGATTAAGCTCATATCTGGTTACTTGTTGTCACAACCTAGGCTCAAACTCCTACTTTTATTACCATTCAACTATTTATTATCTACATTACTATTACCATTCCATTCTGCCAACTTTCTTTACCCATTTTGATTAAAAGAATATATAAATAGTTTTGTAGCAATTTTGTTATTAATATATTCCCAATCCAATTTTGGGTATTGTTTTCAAATTTGCTAATGTTATCATAAGATGGGACTAACCTATTATGCTCTCTTTATATAGCCACAAAAACATTTTACCAAGTCAATATGAGCTCCCTCTGCCCCATTTTCAGGCCATGTAAAATTTCCTTTTACTTTACAATTTGCTTAAATAGGGTTTAATTTTATTTATTATATTCTATTACAAGATTTAACTGCCTCCAGTTGAAAGCTAATATTCCCACCCCTATAGTGCCTCTAGCCTCTATAAATTCTACCATTTATCAAACTGTAGAGGGGACGTTATGTGACGGCTACCGTTTTAACTGCGGATCTGTTAAACAAGGCCTTGCATTACCTAATCTTGGGTTAGCACATATAAAAGTACAGTATTCCTAATGCCCTAAAATCTCATACAAAACACAAATTTAATACTAATGTTCAAACTTAAGATATAAAAAGATGAAATTAAGAAGACAGCAAAACAAATAGATTGACAATCACTACCATAAAATACTTTAGAAGGTAATTACAATAACACTTTTGTAATTACTATAACACTTTAAACATGCTGGTCATCCAATCACATTTTACTTAAAAAACAAAACTAACCTTATAGAATTTCCTAAGATTCTCTTTCGTCTTCTGGTTGATGACAATCATGACACGTGCAATTGACTTGCGCACAACACGGCTGCAATATAACAACAACAACATTATAATGTACACTTAACAGAGTAAGCATTATTAAGCTTAAACATTAATCATGACACGTGCAACATTCAGTCCTGTCGATCAAAACCACTATATGATTTCTGGGTTGTGTTCTTTTATCATATTCCATAATATGGAATTGATATTGAAAATGTTTAAATCTACAGAGCTGTTCAGTATGCAGAAAATATCTGTGGTACATCTTTACAATAAAAATATTCAATAGTAACAAAGTAGGCTTTAATCCTTTTATTCAATTATGGTATATAAACAAACTTTTTTTTATATACGTATTTATATTTATTTTGTTCACAATTTTTGTTTAAAACAAAATACAGTATGGTATATAAATAAAAAAAAATATTGTATTATAACAATGCACTCAAAGTACCAACACAACTAATGACTAACTTTTAGTGCGCCAAAAAAATTGCCGAAAAATTGTGTTGTGTTGTTATATTGTTAAAATGCTTTCTCTGATTGATGGGAGGGGGAAAGAAATTATTGTATGCGACATACTTTAGCCATGATGGAGTACACAAGTTGAGCAAATTATGGGCACTGATGGAGTTGGCACTTGGAGACGCTAGCCCCAGCAACCCCACGGGGCAGCAGTTGACGTGAATATATTTTGTCGCCATTTTTTTTTTTTTTCTTTGGGGCCATACCGTAATATTATTCAAAGTTTGTTACGAGCAAATTATATAATCAAATTGTGTAACATCACTATGTTTAAAATTATGAACTCATCTAGTGATGCATATTATTATATCCTACATTATGTTCACAGAACAAGGATCCAAGGTAGGCCTAGCGGCCAACAGCTGTGTGGCTGAGGTTGGCCCAAATACATTTTCACAATTATTTCAGTGTCTGTGAATGGTTTTATATCTAGCTTTTGCAGTAATATTAATCAATAATGTGTGTAATTTTTTGGAATTTATAGTCAAGTGTGTACTCGCCTAATTGTGCCTGCGGGGGTTAAGCTTTGTCTCTTTGGTCTGTGTGTGCGTAATGTTTGTGTAATGCGTAATGTTTGTGTGTAATGCGTCTCTTTGGTGATGTGTGTAACATCACTGATCAAAATTATGGTGCCCATATCCAGGGACACTTATTATATTCTTAGATCAGTGGTTTTACTTTATTACACTATACTGTATACACGTTACCTGCTGGATGGGTTTCTGGGAGTAGTAGTTCTACTCCCATAGCTCGGCCCGATGCCAGGCTTGACTTGTGTTATATACATCTATATTTTTATAAACTGTAACGGACCACTAAGTAATTCTGGCGTGTGGTAATGAAATCTTAAGAGCAATATAGAGCTATACTCTACGCCCAACTGACTTCGGCTGCCAACATCAATCACCTGACAAAGCAAAATACAGTACCCAGAAATACACTATGCACATTGCTATCATCACTTCGAACAATGCTATTACCAGATTCCTGTCACTAAATCATGAATATGAATCATTTTCCACAAGATTATTTTCTAAATGAATATGAAGTCACTTTGCATGATGCATAGATTCACAAACCTCAGCTATGTGCTGTGAATGTCTGCCTCCTGCTGTGATCATCATAACTAGCATTGTGTTCGCTGATATCTGAATATTGTACATAGTCTATCACAGTCAGGATCATCTATGACACTATCAACACAATAATTAGTTATCTATTTTATTAATCATCATTAAGTGGTGCTGTGTTCCTAACGGCACAGCAGAGCTGAGCAGCCCTTGTGGATTTGTTCATGGTGTGCATATTAGTGTTGCAAGTATTATGTTCATAAATCAAATATTTTGCTATTATTACACTATATACACAGGTTATATATAGGTATCTGCATGTTTTGTTCATCATAGCGAACCACTAAGTTGGTATGGCGAGTCCAAACATCAAGAGTGGACTGCCACACCCAGCCAGCCCTCCCTCACTCCAACACCTAACTCACCAACGTAAGAGGTATTAGAGGCAAGATACAATCAACACTGGATTTCAACCACCCACCAGATGAAAAGGGTTAAATGACTCCAGAGCCATAAAGGCACTCAAAAGAGTCAACCACAATGACACTGTAATGTTGATGTCGGAAAACCCAGTCTAGCATACAAAATTACATAAAAGTTCCACCTGAAGAAACAGTAGCCAACACCGTCGGCAGACTTCAGCCCGTCTGTGAACGGTGCAATGGACTGAGTGTGCAAAGAAATTCAAGGAAAAAGCATTCATAATGGGAGAAGTAATATAAGCCTCGTCACGGCCCTTGTGGATTTGTTCAAGTAATATAAGCCTTTACAATGTGGGGTCAAGGCTACAAAACTTTGCAAGTGGGACTCTCCATGGAGGCAAGGTTGGAACAACACGAGGCGAGACTGCAAACGTCAACCGAGAGGGAATCTTACAAATGACGCTAACCTTACAGAAAAAAAGGTGGCAAAAGAAAACAGGCCCACCTGAGGGGTAACAAAACACTGCATACGCAAGAGTGAGGTGGTTGCAGGGACTGTGTGAGGTAGCGAAGTAGTAATCACAACAGTCATGTAAAGACAGGACACTAGTTTCAATATGTAAGCTTTGGGTGGGGGGGAGTAGCAAAAGGCACCCGAGCTGAGACATAACCTGGTATGGTGCAGAGCATCAAGAAGACAAAGGGTCCAAAGAGAGGTCATGACATTCAACTTGGAAGTGAGAGACATGAGGTAACAAAGGGGAAATACCACAGTGACAACGGGGGATGAAGAATGACATGCTTCCGAGAAAGTCATAGCAGAAGTCTTGGTCATAGTAAACAAAGCCATGATTGGCAGCCCAAGATAATATTTACCAATTGCAAGTTGGAGTTGGTGTTAAGAGGAGAAGGAAGGAAGTCACCACGACAACAAAGTGATATCGCCACCACCCAGGGTAGTTGAACAACCATGGGAAACCCCTTCATATTTTAGAAAAGATTTTTCGATAATTTTTAAAAAAAAAGTGGTACCTAGAAAAGTGGCACTTTTAACAAATGAGTGGAAGGTTTGCAGAAAAGTGCAAAATTGCATATTTTATCTCCAGATAATGACAAGCCTTTTCCAGGTCATAAAGAATGGAAACAAGAGAGGTATTCACAGCAAAGCAGTATGAACATAGGAACATCAGGGTATGAATACCTAAGGAATTTACAGGGTATGAATACCTAAGGAATTTAGAGTCCACTAAGATACCAGCCATGCTGCAACACTGCAAATGCCAAATTGAGGAGAGGTAGCAATAGTGTTCAAAGAACTACATAAAATGAAAGTTAACCAAAAGTTCAAAATGTTTGTAGACAATTCATCAGAGCAATGAGGCAAAAATCCTTAGGGGACATACCTTGAGTACAGGTTTTGAATAAGACCAACTGCCTAAATAAAGCCAGTCTGTCGCTTCCCAAGTATGGTTATAGATAAAATAAATTCCCATCCACATTGCAAATACCAAAATGCACACTGAGGGATATGACTTAATAACATAAGTATGTTAGCTATGACAGTTAAAAAAATAATGTGTAAACAAATATTATGGGTCATTTGTTTTGCATCATTGTAAAGAACACAAAAGTTACACACAATAATAACTAAAAGGAATAATAATTTGTTTTAAATAAAACATTCATGAGCTGGCTTTTTTTAATAAAAAATATTGCATTTATTTATTTATGTATATATACAAGAGTTCTTACATTCTTGTACAGCTACTAGCCCGCATAGCATTTCGTGCAGGGCCTTAAAATTAATTTTCCTCGGAATACGACCCACCAAATCGTTTAACAACCAGGTACCCATTCACTGCTGGGTGAACAGAGGCTACAGTTAAGGCTTGGCACCCAGTCAATCCTCCCCAGCCTGGATACTAATCTAGGCCAAAGCACTCGTGAAGTGCTGGGCAAGTGTCTTACCACTGCACCACAGACACTGGTGAAGCATTATAAAACAACTTTTTCAAAATAAAAACTAAATGAATACAAGTAAATCCTCCAAATGGAATTTTGAATTTTCCCATAAAAAATGCATCATAAATCAATAATAATATCAATTTTACCCCCTGTACTGCGCGCTCACCAAGATACCTTGTTTTGATGGGTGGTGGGCTCAAAAAACCTGTTTGTTGGTATAGCAAACAATTCAAAACTCCCGCAGGTACATGAGGCACAAATATGTTTTCCGAGGCCTCCAGAAATCAGATACCATCTTAGAAAAAATGTGTGGGCACTTCTCCTAAGTGTGAGATCCTCGTTTTTTTTTTTTTTTTTCAGGGAAATTCCTGCACGTGCTTTAAGCCTCTGGCTGGCCCACTAGGTGTTGCTTGTTTCTGTTTTACTTAGGTAGAGTACGAGTATTTATGACTCGTATGGTCGCTTCAGTAAGATTTTGCCCAATGTGTTTAACAACAACTTCTGCTCTGTTGAATCTTAAGTTGAAATCTTATTGGGTTTGTAACTCTGCACTGTGTTCGATAATGTTCCAGTGGTCTGTCGAGCATTTCTCCAGTACTGACATTTCCGACTACAGTCCTAGTACCGAGTGAGTGACCATGAGCAGTGTGTGTAGCACCAGCTCGCAGCATCACCATGCACCTCATACCCACATCCTCACTTAATAATGATGAAATAAACAAGTAACTATTTAATGATGATAGTATCAGAAGATCCTGACATGTTAAGACTATGTACAGGGTTCAGATACGAGTGAGCCACCCTATGAGGGTTATGACGTTAACAGCATGAGACATGCTCAGCACGCAATATAATTTGGTGTTTGTTATGTGCGTATGTATGCACCAAGAAATGGAACTTCACGTTCCTTCAGAAAATGAACTTTGTGGAAAATTATTCATATTCACGATTTAGTGAGATTCTGATAATAGCAGTGTTGTGCATAATAAGTGATGTGCGTAGTATATCGGAAGGCACTTTGTTATGCCAAATGTTGTTGGCAATTGACTAGCATATGGCACTATGCTGTGCTTGCATTACTAGATTACCACTCACCAGAACTGCTTAGTAGTTTGTTTATATATAACATGTGTAATAGTGTAATAAAAAAAAAAATCCTAATATAATATTGTACACATATTAGTGACAAATATATCTGTATATCTATGATCTAAACGTTCCAAGATACAGTAGTGTATATCTTAGTATTTGGGTACCATTCCTTCCCTCCATCCCATCCCAAATCCTTATCCTGACCCCCTTCCAAGTGCTATATAGTTGCAATGGCTTGGCATTTTCCCCTGATAATTCCTTCCTTCCTTCACAGCCACTCCTGCCCTACACCTGGCCAAAGGCAACCTCCAAGGAAGCAACTGCTTCATGAACATGCAGGAACCATGACTTCATGCGAGATTTCTCGCTTCACCTGTGCCGTAGACAAAATGTGATCGGTGAGCACATTTTAACAATATTAAAAGAAAAATAAGAAATTTTTCTGTGCAGTAGGGCATTCTCATATAGACTGATTGGTTAATGATTGGGTAAGTAACACCCCATCCTATCAACCTTTCATCCAACATCAAATTAATCCTAAATTTTGTCTCTATGGCACAGGATAAAGCAAGCATTTGGAGGACCAATCTGGTGCACAATTAACAAATATATGACAATTATTTGCTATACACATATAATAATCAAGAATTTGCACTGGTAGAATGCAAGATTAATAAAATAATGATAAAACCATTCATATAGCTCAATCTTTTCTATTACATTCAGCCCTACAAGAAGCATGCAGAACAAACATCAAGTAAATAAAACTTACATTTTGGAGAGCTTGGATGCAGCTCCGCCAGTCACCTTGGCCACTCGCAGACCAGACAGTTCTTGTTTGAGCTCCTCCAGCTGCTTCAGCAGCTCATCCTTCTTCTTGCTACGCAAGTCACTACACTTGACCTTAACCTGAAGAAAGAATTATCAGAACCATACCAAGAGAACAAATACTGGAAATTGCATTCTGTAGATATGTAACTTTAGTTGAATAAAGGAAAAAACAAATACAAAAATTGTGCCAATGCCCACTCCTCCAATATTCAACAAACTCTGGCATGTTAAATGTTTAGTCAGAATTCAGTCACTTGATACCATTCATTTTTATACTCAACATAACTGATATACAGTAAAAATATGTGACGCATATTGTCTAGTGTGGGTGAACAAAATAGTTACCACAATACAGTAGACTATAAAATGTATTAAGGATGAAATGCAGACCTATGAAATGACAACCAGTTGTCAACTCAACATGGGAACTTTCGAGCACATTTATTTATTTATTTATTAATTTACAAGAAGGTACAATGGGTTTGCAAGATTACATAACATTGGTATTTTTACATTCTCCCAAAGCCACTAACATGCATAGCATTGTTTTTTTTAGTTTAAATTCGTTTTTAAGGTATTAAGCAAGGACAGGACTTGCTTAACACAACTAATCAAAATGATCTTATCTTGGTTCTCTTGAGATGATTTCGGGGCTTTTTTTTTTTTTAGTGTCCCCGCGGCCCGGTCCTCGACCAGGCCTCCACCCCCAGGAAGCAGCCCGTGACAGCTGACTAACACCCAGGTACCTATTTTACTGCTAGGTAACAGGGGCATAGGGTGAAAGAAACTCTGCCCGTTGTTTCTCGCCGGCGCCCGGGATCGAACCCGGGACCACAGGATCACAAGTCCAGCGTGCTGTCCGCTCAGCTGACCGGCTCCCTTGCACAATAAATGAACTCCTAGGGTAGGCTAGTTGGATTAATTCCTTTAGGTTAGACATGTTTCAAAATCCTTTGACGAACTACTTTTCACGACGACTCATCCCCTCCAGCTTCACCCATCCATTATGAGGTTGTTTGCAATGTATGCACTCCAAGACTTACCATGTGAACCCCGACTCATCTCCCACATGACGAGCACCACCCCAGCAGCTGCACAGCTGCTGTGATCATCACATTGCCTGGTTTTGTCGTCCTATCTTGCATAATTGTTATTATCCACCAGATGAGTGGGCTGCCAATACTTTTGTATGTAGCATGGTCTTATACCTGGGGCTTGGACAGGTCAATTTGTCCCCCCCCCCCCTCCCCTCCAATGTGGTAATGAGTTTTTGGAAAAGTTTTCCAGGTTCACTTAATACAGGTCAAAAGAATATAATTAAATTTCTCTTATAATCCAAATAGTGCACATACTGTAGTTCTTATGACTTATTAATTTTAATTAACTGTGCTAAAGACGCATGTTAGCATGTGGATGACAACTCTACGTGTGCTCTTGCTATTAGGGGTGTTGTACGCGCTCCTTTGGTGCCGTGTTCCAGTGATAGTCTCGAGGCCAGCCTCCACCACCACACAGTATGTCTCCTTCACATTTCTATCGTGTGGGCTAAACCATCCTGCAAGACTAGAGCCTCCCAACAATATTTACACGGAGGTATCTTATGCACGGGTGACTTTCACTATTGAAAATAAAACGACCTAACTCCTAGAAAGCATTAGTCTAGAAAATAACATTGCGGGCCAGATGAACGTTACGGCCCGCCCCATTAGCCCCCATACTATTATCCCAGCACGTTGGAGTTTATTGTGAGTGAATCACTTTAAAGACTCCAGACAGACCTAACTTACCCCTACACCACCCATAGTGTGGGGCCACACAATGAACCACACAGTGGCCCAAGTAAATCATTTTCCTAACTTCAAGCCCCACTAATGTCTGGCTTGCCAAGTCTACGCCACCACCCACACTATCTCTACATTCCATTTGTACTTTGTCCTATACGGTATATATAAAGTTCTATGATTAATAACCTGCGAAATGTTGGTCAAATACGACTACTGATTTTTTGTCTAAACTTCCAAAACTTTGACCAAATAACCTGGACATACAGCAAAACATTTTTACTAATTACGTATTTATTCATATACTTTATTCATATACTACTCATCACTGAACACTTACTCACCGAGTGAATTATCTTTGTTACCGACAAGAAGATTTAAAATGAGTAACAAGTTTACATAAAGGCCCCACGAGCACCTCCTCCACACCACGCAAAACATAAACAAATCCACTCCCAAGTATTCACTCATATTCTCACTCTACCACATTACTCTCCCTCCTAACTTAAGGGCCAATACACTCCCTGATCTCCCAGAGCAAGGAAACACACACATTACCGCCATCTTCTCTCAGGATGAAGGAGAAAATCGGCGATAAAGAGGAGCACTAACCATTTTGGCGAGGTTGTTGGTGTGAAGGGAGAGCGGTCGCTTACACCCCGGAACAGCAGCCTCACTGACACCTGACGGTCGAGTTGCGCACACCACCCTCACACTTCACACGCACATAATAATAATAATAATACCAATATCAATAATTACAATCATTTTTATTCAGGTACAAGTACATACAAACAAAATGAGTAACAAACAGAATGTTGGATTTCTGGATATAGCTATATATAATATACTATGCCTAAAGCCATTAATAATACGCACAGCGTTTGGGGCAAAATTTTGATATTTTATTTCAAGAAGGTTAAGTAAAACAGCACTGTGTTGCTACCTTATTATATATTAAGGATTACATACAGTGTGTAGATCAGGAGCTAGCTATGAGTTCATTTACTATTCCCATCATTGATTATCAGAAATATATTAATAAGTTCTCATAAATCTATTATCAGAACTATAACAAACTCAGTCTTCAGAAAATACGCAGCCCCTCTGTTTAAATTGGTAAACATGCTAAATATATATATATATATATATATATATATATATATATATATATATATATATATATATATATATATATATATATATATATATATATATATATATATATATATATATATATATATATATATATATATGCGAACAAGCCTGAATGGTCCCCAAGAATGGTCACTTCTGGGGTGTGAGTTTTCAGTTATATATATATATATATATATATATATATATATATATATATATATATATATATATATATATATATATATATATATATTCATTCCACACATTCTCTTGTCCTATTTACTTGTACAAAATCTTATTCCTAAATGCCAACTCTTCCTTGATATATGTAATAGACAAGTAATAGAACCCATAAGCACTACACCAAAAATAAATATATCTTTGATATTCCTCTAAATCTGCGCAAACACTCCATTCAAATAAAAGGACCCAGTGTATAGAAACTCCCATCCCAATGAATAAAAAAATTAACCTATACTTTATTCAAAATTAAAAAAAAGGTACCTTATTTCATCCTCATAGTTTCCTACCTTGTGCTCCAAACTCACACTATCTTGTCCTACCCTCTCACACAATTTTAGTACTTAAAGACATGCAATTTCATCACTATACTCTTTATTATAAATTTATATTGTAGTTACGTTAAACTTAAATTTTGCTACACTATACCTATTGCTACATTATCAGTTAGATTAACGACCTGCCCGAAATGCAATGTTTGTTAGTGGCTTTGCAAGAATGTAACGCTCAAACACCAATATTATGTACTCTTTCAACCCAATGTACGTTCTTGTGTATAAATAAATAAAATAAATACAACATGGAATCAGGAGGAAACATGAGATGTGAGTCTTGTCTACTTGTCTGCACTAGCAGACACCAACCTCGCGACGGAGCAGACCACAAGAATATCTTCCCATATTCGTGAGTGTATGAAGTAGTTACATGGCTCAAAGAATCTCATACCATTTAGTCGAATGTCATAAAAAAGATCCAAAGTCATTTTATGCCTACATATAAGAAGTAACCCCAACCAAAAGACTCGGCAGGACCCTTAAAAAATGAGACTAACCAAGTTACAACAGACGATATCTGGGCACCAAACACTGATTGAATACTTTACATCAGTGTTCACACTGAAAAGATTAGATGACATCCCATTACTCACACAAATGTTTTTAAGGTGATGAAGAGAACGAATCAAGCAATATACCCATAACGTGTGACATAATCAGGAAGACTGGTGGCAAAATAAAAGACTGAAAAACTCCAGTCCGGTAGAGCTACGGTCTCGCTTCTTGCATTTTTGTTATTAACAAAATTAGGTATACACAGCAATGTGCTGCTACCCTATTCTATATGAGATATTACACAGTGTAGATCAAGAACTAGCTATAGGTTCAACTGTTCTTCCCATCTCACAGAATAATTAGTCATACATGGAATTAGCGGAGATAATACCTGCCTTAATACAAAAACAAACCAGCTCTGACTTAACAACTGGCTATAAGTTCATCCACCATTCCCATAAGAACATTAGAACAAAGGTAACTGCAGAAGGCCTATTGGCCAATACGAGGCAGCTCCTATTTATAACCACCCAATCCCACTCATATACTTGTCCAACCCACGTTGAAACAATCAAGGGACCCCACCTCCACCACGGTACGCGGTAATTGGTTCCACAATTCAATTACAACCCTGTTACCGAACCAGTATTTACCCAAAGTCTTTCCTAAATCTAAACTTATCCAATTTATACCCATTGTTTCGTGTTCTGTCTTGTGTTGATACTTTTAATACCCTATTAATATCCCCCCGGTTATGTCCATTCATCCACTTGTAAACCTCTATCATGTCACCCTTAACTCTTCGCCTTTCCAGTGAATGCAATTTAAGCTTTGCTAATCTTTCTTGATATGAAAGATTTCTAATTTGGGGAATTAGCTTTGTCATCCTACGCTGGACACGTTCAAGTGAATTTATATCCATTCTATAATACGGCGACCAAAACTGAACTGCATAATCTAAATGGGGCCTAAACCAGAGCAAGATATAGCTGAAGAACAACACCAGGTGTCTTGCTACTAACGCTTCGATTAATAAATCCCAGTGTCCTATTTGCCTTATTATGAGCCTTCATGCATTAATCCTTTGGTTTTAAATTCTTACTAATCATAACTCTCAGATCCCTTTCGCAATCCAACTTCGCAATCTCAACACCATCTAGCTCGTATCTTGTAACTCTATCATCATTACGTAACCTCAAAACTTTACATTTATCAGCATTAAACTGAATCTGCCAATCTTTTGACCATTTCAAACCCTATTTAGATCAACTTGAAGTGATAGTGAGTCTTCTTCCGTGTTAATTTCCCTACCGATTTTTGTATCATCTGCAAATTTGCAAATGTTGCTACTCAAACCTGAATCTAAATCATTTATATATATATTATAAACAACAGAGGTCCCAGGATAGAGCCTTGAGGCACTCCACTTACAACATTTTCTCACTCTGACTTAACCCCATTTATACTAACTATGTTTCCTTTGGTATAGTCATGCCCTAATCCAACTTAATATAGCACCCCCAATACCATGAGCCTCTAACTTTTTAATCAGTCTTTCATGTGGTACTGTATCAAAAGCTTTGCTAAAGTCAAGGTACACAACATCCCAATCCTTACCACTATAAACTGCCTCAACTATGCTGGAATAAAGACAGCAAATTTGTTAAACATGAACGGCCATTTCTAAAACCATGTTGAGACTTATTTATTAATTTAAGTTTTTCAAGATGAAGACGAATTGTATTTGCAATTATCGATTCAAGTAACTTTCCGGCCGTGGGAATTTGTTTGGTTTGAGTTTTACTATTTGTTTAATAACATCCTCCCTGGTAACTGCTAAACTACAGACGGGAGACATCTGCTGTCACGTAGGGTGCAGTCTCACCTCCACAGATCTCCAGTATCATCTCTTGATACTGGTAATGGCTTAAAAGGGCCACCACTTACGAGCTATTCATGCCCGTACCACCTTTTCGGTGGCTTCATCTTCATCTTAACACATTCACAAGAGAGACATATCCCGCCATGCAGGATGCAGTCGCACCTCCACAAATCTCCAGTATCATCTCTTGATACTGGTAATGGCTTAAAAGGGCCACCACTTACGAGCTATTCATGCCCGTACCACCTTTTCGGTGGCTTCATCTTCATCTTAACACATTCACAAGAGAGACATATCCCGCCATGCAGGATGCAGTCGCACCTCCACAAATCTCCAGTATCATCTCTTGATACTGGTAATGGCTTAAAAGGGCCACCACTTACGAGCTATTCATGCCCGTACCACCTTTTCGGTGGCTTCATCTTCATCTTAACACATTCACAAGGGAGACATATCCCGTCATGCAGGATGCAGTCGCACCTCCACAGATCTCCAGTATCAGCTCTTGGATTTATTAATCGCAGCGTTAGTAACAAGACACCTGGTGTGGTTCTCAAGCTATATCTTGCTCTAGTTAGGCCCCATTTAGATTATGCAGTTCAGTTTTGGTCGCCATATTATAGAATGGATATAAATTCACTTGAACGTGTCCAGCGTAGGATGACTAAGTTAATTCCCCAAATTAGAAATCTTTCATATGAAGAAAGATTAACAAAGCTTAAGTTGCATTAGACAGAATGGAAGCAAAGCATCTATGGGATGAAATATCTAGAGCATCTAGATCTAACAGTATTTATGTCATGGGTGACTTTAATTTTAGCGGAATAAACTGGTTGAACAAAACAGGGAATAGTGAAGCAGAAGATTTTCTAGAATTAATTGACGATTGCTTTCTTACGCAACACATTAAGGAACCAACACGGGAAAATAATATTTTAGATTTAGTGTTAACTAACAGGGAAACGCAAATTAATGACATCGAAATAGGGAGTGAGCTAGGGAGCAGTGATCACAAAGAAATCAGATTTAGCATAGAATGGAATAGACCAGTAGGAGAAAATTCTGTTAAAGTGCCAGATTTTCGAAAAGCTGATTTTAATAGCCTAAGAAATTTTTTGGGTCAAATTGATTGGAAAGGCTTGGGTATGGGGTGTGGGCCGGTCTTGGAGCGAGACATGAACCCAGCGATAGGGGACTTAAATGGGGATTTCGATGTGGATTCAATATATAACTTATTTAAGAATATTCTAAACAAAGCACAGGAACGTAGTATACCATACAAATTGAATAGATCGTATACTAATGACCCAAAGTGGATAACAAAGAATTTGAAGAACCTTATAGGTAAAAAGAGAGCTTGGTACAAAAGGATTAAAAATGGGGAGGTCACTTTAGAACAGGAATTCGTACAACTGGTTAGAAATGTTAAAAAAGAGATAAGGAAAGCAAAAAGAAACTATGAAGTTCGCATAGCAGGGCAAGCAAAGACAAATCCTAAAGGGTTTTTTCAGTTATATCGTACTAAGACTAGGGAAAGGATAGGTCCATTAAAAACTGAGACAGGTCAAATAACAGATAGTGATGAAGAGATGAGTAGTATTTTTAATAAATATTTTGTATCTGTATTT